ACTGGGAAAATCAGTTTAACATCTAAACAAATATTATTAAAGAAAATACGTAAAGCTTATTTAAGTATTTTACTATAAAATTACATATATCGTTGATGAAGCATCATTATCAACTGAAATCCGCTCAGAATCGTTTTTTCGTAAGCTACGGTTTATCGTTGCCTACAGGTATACATTGAATTACATATAACAGTGGCTACACCCGCCCCTATTATCCTATTATCGTCTTTTTTTCTTATTTTACAAACGATTTCGTTTAAACGATAATACCTGTATCTATATGCAAACGAGTATGATGGTATATAATATCCTCAATCGGTTGCTAGACAATCGTGCGGCAACGTTGATAGTTCACGGCAATCGATATCAGTTACAATATTGATAACTGCCTACTCCCCGAAATGTCTAACTAATACAAAATAATATCGAAAAGTTTAACAGTACACACACGAGCGAGAAACAGGTAGTGCATAAAAACATTTCAATTGCAACTAGGTATAAATAGTTTTTGTATTTTTATTGCGCATAATTATTTATAAATATGTTCTCACGTAATCAGTTAATAATTAATAATATTTAGTAATAGTTTAACGTAAATAGTTAATATTTTAATTTTAAAATGGCCTAATACAATATTAATACAAACAATGTTTTACAGCATCTAATAATAATATTGTCGTGTACTATCAACTATTGCCGTACAATCATTTGTCTCGCGATCAATTGACGTATACCCGATCTGAATATAGACAGTCCTTGTTAAGCCTTAAAATACTCGTACTTAAATATACTTTTTGGCTATTTTAAATATTTTTTAACAGCTATATTTCGAATATCTAAAAAAATATTTTTCTATTATATTTGTATACTAGAATAAAAAATATTTACCTTCATGTTATCGTTTTATTACAATATTTTCATATTTTACGATTTTAAATTTGAATTGTTTCTAAAATAATACTTTACAATAGTTTTAAAAATATATAATAGTTACGATTTCTCCAAAATGTTTTGATATAACTCAATGAGCGCGTTATAATAATGCTACATGCTACGTGCTACAGCTAACTATATGCTTATTACTAATTAAATAAAATAATATACATTCACGTACAACATCTGAAATCCTTGAGCTTATTTAAGTTGAATGTCCACAAATAAGTTCAGGTGTTTGTTGGTAATTTGTTGAATGTAGAAATCTTTCTAGGGGCATATCAAATGTATTGAAAAAAAAAGAAAGTATTTTGAATATGTTTACCAATTATTTGTATTCAAATATTTTTAAAAGAAAGTATTCAATTACAGTTCATACAATAAGCTTATTCAAAAACGTATTCGGAATGCATTTGTAAAGGACACATTAGATTGTACAGTATAATATAGGCGTCATGCATCAGATAAGGCTGAAACACTATAGGTATATAGTGTATGTATCGAATACATTTTAATTAGAAAATTATGTCGAATATTCAAATCTGAGTGATTTTTTTTTATCTTTTATACAACTTCGAATACAAAAACTGGCCAATTTTCCGTTTATTAAACTATGTAATAACTTTCTCATAAGTGTGTATTATGCCGTCACCTACCAATAAATCGACTATTTTTTTAACGCACTTTTCGATTTAGATTGCGAATCTATATATATATATATATATATACAAAAGAAATATAACGAAACGGGCGTATGAAAAGCACACGGCACAAAACGTTCAAAGGTCTGAACGAGAGGTGTATAATATTATAGCGATGGCAATATTATTATATGATTTTTTGCGAATCGCGTAAATACAATACTCCGGACGACAAAGATAATAAAAACACAATAACGGGTAATGTTCCCGAGAACAACAATATATTATAACAGCGACAATGCCTTGGCGCTTATTTTAAAAATATTTTCTTTTTATATAATACAATATTGTGTAGACTTAATCAGAAAAGCGTTTAGTGTATAAACGAGTAAAAAAATCAAAAAAAATCTAATGGAGACATTTGAACACCGCATTTTGTAGTTGACAAAACAGTACTTTGTATCTCCAAGAAATACCAAAAAAATGAGAAAAAAAAAACACGTAATTTAGTAAAAACATCACCTAATATATACAATGTACAAATGGAATCTAAAGTGAATATTAGTATAATATAAGTATATAAGTAAACGTTAGAACATGATCACGTATGTCCGATACTAATATTATTGTCAAATCTTCAAAATTCCTCGTGCCGTAAAAATATTTGGTTGAACCGTTACTAAAATCTATATTAAGTGCATTGTTTTTTTTTATTAATAATAATATTAAACATATGTAAGTATATATATTTAATTTATATTAATAAAATTCATAGGAAATATAAATCATGATAAAACGTAGCATATGATGAATATAACCATCGATTTTTAAAAAAAATGGGGGGGAAACAGACCAAATGATAAAAACACATAGAAAATCTATTATTATTAGGCACGTAGAAAGTTTAATTATAAATTTAATACAAACAAATTTATACTCCAGCTAGGTTACATCTTTTTTTTTTTTTTTTTTTTTTAAATGAGTTATTGTTTTACCTAAGTTACCTATATAATGTAGTTATTGTAGTTATTGAGCTATACATTACGATTTTAGTCATAATAAACTCCTTGAACACCTAGACTTTCATCACATTTAATTTTCACCGTCGAAGTATTACGGATAATATTTTTCACTATAACATTAATTAAGTATTATCGTGATATTGTTGTTCAGTTTTTAGATTTGGAGCGGAGCGAGTGATCTATTGGTTTTACTACGATGTATTTTTTTCTCTATCTGTAAAACATTTTTCGAACTAAAAACTCGTTCTGATCGAAAAATCATAAGAGATATTTTTGTTGCATTTGGGATCTAGTGCAGTTTTCAAACTGGGTGCCGCGAGCACTCACTAGGTGTGCCGTGGTCTCATGAAATTTGTTTTCTTTAAATTGTGACGGACCACCGGTTACGGTGATCCGCTCGTTAAGTATGAAGTCGTAACACTTTTGATTTATGACTCGTTTGAGTATGATTCATCAATTATGTTATAAGTTCTAATTGTATACAAAAAAATTAATGACAAAAAAAGACCTCAATGCCCCGTGAAAATGTTGTGGAAAGTGAAGTGTCCCGTAGTCAAAAAAAGTTTGAAAACTACTGATTTAGTGCATTAAAGAAGAAAATTTTAAATAGTTTTCATAATATTCGGCAAATCCCGGTAAAAACGTAAAGAAAAGCAAACAATTTTTACGAAAAATAGTTTTATTATTTTTAATTTTTGCGCTTTATGATTTTACCAGAAATATTTCTCTAATAGAAAAACGGCAAGACAATAAAATAAAACAAAACAGTTTAATTTTAAATTTAGTTGGTAAGTCAGGATCCCGTTTTTAATTTTCCCAGCAATATTTAGTCGTAATTCAGTTAAAAATATTAAATAGAGACTTGAAATGTTGACAGAAAACTTATATTTGCGTTTTCTAGACGTGGTAAGCTTTTCAAAACATTTTAATAATTTTGAGTTATGTATACATATAAAAACTTATTTAATAAATACTTACGCCCATATATAACCGAACTTCGGTTTTACAACCGATTAAAAAATCGTTTTTTTTAATGGTTTATCGTTGCTTACAGATATGAATTAAATAACTTTTTTTTGTATCCTACCAATCCAATTTTCCACATACCCCTGTGACGTACCCATCGTTGGTATCCACTCTTTTTTTTTTTTTAATTATCAAGTGTTTTTGTCTTTCTTAAAAGTGTTTAAAATTTGGACATACTCTTATGCCCTTACTGTATTTAAAGGTTTACATATAATAGAATGCTGCTATTTTTGCATAATGGAAATCTGAAATCGGGTTGTTTTTTTATAGTAGATACGGTATAATATAATATTATGGAAAAATAAAACGGAATGAATATATAAGAGGGAGAAAAAAAGGAACATCGATACATACAGTTTTTATATGTATACGAAGAGAAGATGCCGAGGGGTTATTTTAAGAGGGTAACAAAATACTTAATAAACCCTCCTAATAATCTACACATATTCACGCCGGGCCCTCCGAAACTCTCGAATAAAGTGTTATATCTTATTTTATGTTTATTTATTTTGCGTGCGTATAATATTATCATACCTTTTGTATAATATGACGAAGTCTGCGCACAGACAGATTTCTAGTCTTGAATTTTCGACAGTTATTATTTGTATTACAAAAATAGCCTGTACCGCGTCGTATAACTTAATCAACAAAAGTAATCTTGTATTCATAAGTTTATACGTAAATAAACAAATATTTTATTTTCTATATTATTATATTACAGTAAAACGACCATATATGTGCCTAAGTATCTCTCAATCGACAGGTATTATTTCACAATTAAAAATATAATAAATAATAATACATTTCATATGAAGTTAATTCTATATATTTCTTAGTTGTATTTATGTATATTATTTAGTAATCAATGATAATTTATCAAACAATTGATTTAATTGATCAAATTGATTTTTAAGTTCATAATCCTGTAATACTTTTATACATACCAAAACTAAGGAGACGACTGCTATGTATATTATAATTCATTCAGTTACATTACACATTTAAAAAAAAAATAATAATAATAATAACACTCAATACTAGACCGACAATATCATTGATGTCCAAAAACTGATAGCGCACCTTATTCCGTTGTTGTGGTTTTAAATTTTCAAATATGAAAACACGTAATGTATATAATTTGTTATTGGATGGGAAATGAAATAAAATCGATGTTAATAGAAGTGGTGTTGAAGAGATTTTCGTATCGTTTAAAACAAAACTGTTAAAATTTAATATAAAAGTACAATATTATAATAACATAATATAAATTCAACTGGTTCTTTTTTTTTTTTTTTTAATTTCAAGTATAGCATTTTAAAAACAAAAAGGATAAATTATTGTTTTTTAGGTATATTTATACCATTTGAAAAAGCTTGCAATGGGTGATTCATTAAGAGGTACTTTTTTAAATGGAATTTTATGACGGATAACGAATGAATCGTATCAAACTGTCGTGTTATTTTTGTTTAGTGTTGTTTGACATTTCATCATGGAAAGACTTAGCCCGGCACAGCGTCTACAAATTATTCAACTTTATTACGAAAATCAGCATTCTACTAGAACTGTTTTTCGTAAGCTTAGAGAAACTTATGGTCCGCATGATCGGCCTACCGAACACACAATTCGCTATACAATTGTAAAATTTGAAACCCGATTTTCATTATTAGATAACACATGACCAAATAGGCCGCATCCAACACGTAGTGAAGAAAATATAGCGGCGGTAGCTGGAAGTGTACGCGATGGCCGTGATGAATCGATTCGGCGCCGTTTTTAACAGCTTGGCTTGTCGTATGCAACAACTTAGCGTATTTTACGTAAGGACCTTGGTTTAAAAGCATACAAAATTCAACTCGTCCAAGAATTAAAGCCGGCCGACCTTCCGAATCGTCACCGTTTTAGTGAATGGGTTCTTGAAAAGATTGAAGAAAATCCACTGTTTTCGACCAACATTTTTTTCAGCGATGAGGGTCATTTTTGGCTTAATGGTTACGTCAATAAGCAAAATTACCGTATTTGGGCTGAAGAACAACCCGAAGAGGTTCATAACCTGTCATTATATCCAAACAAAACAACCGTTTGGTGTGGTTTATAGGCTGGTGGAATTATCGGTCGATGTTTCTTTAAAAATGAGGCCAAGCAGAACGTAACTGTGAATGGCGCTCGCTATCGCGACATGATAACAGACTATTTGTTGCCTGAAATTGAAGCTCGTAATCTCGATGACATTTGGTTTCAACAAGACGGTGCTACATGTCTGACAGCTCGTGAAACTCTGGCTTTATTGCGAGAACAATTCGGCGAACAATTGATTTCACGATTCGGACCGATTAGTTGGCCAGTTTGATCATGCGATATCACACCTCTCGACTTTTTTCTTTGGGGCTACGTGAAGTCCAAAGTCTACATAACTATGTCGACTACGATAGATGAATTGGAAGTCAACATCAAACACGTCATTGGCCAAATACCAGTAGAAATGCTTAGATGGGTCATTGAAAATTGGAACTTTCGAATGGATTATTTTAGGCGCAGTTACGGCCAACATTTAAAAGATATAATATTTAAAAAAATATAAATAATATTTTTTTTATAATAATAAAGTTTACCCAATAAAATTGAATTTTTTTATTGTTTTTTAATTCATGAAAAAAATACCTCTAAATGAATCACTCTTTATAAGAAAAATATTTCCAATTCCAAATTCCAAACCAATTACCAATTTTCAGATTGAAATAAAAACTACTCGTACACTAGACTGGCGTGAAAAAATATTTAAGTACCTAAATAAACAACAATACTAATTTGAGTCTGGTATGTACATTCTCACGTTTTCCTTAATTAAGAAATAAGAGACAAACAACTCAATACACGTTAAAAATTAGGAGGTAGGTACCTACTTCGTGAAAATACATAATCTACTATGGAAAGTTTTAGTGAATATCCATTATGTGCCTGTCCTCCTTTCCTTTTATGAATAAAAGCTTCACGAGCAAATAGAATAAATATTCCCGTTTTTTTTGAACTCATTCCAGTTATCTGTCCCCCCCCCCAGTCAGAGTATTTGCAATGTGATAAAAATAATACAACGCTTTGTTACATTATCTACTAATTCAATCGTTTGCCATTTTATTTTCTAGTAGTCGGACATTACGTACAATCTTAATCCAGCAGGTGTCCACTAGACTTTACTATACAGCCAAAGAAAACCTTGAAATAATGTCCCCTATACCCAATACTCGTGTTTACAGGGAATGGGTATTGTATTATAATGTACGTGTAAAGGTGTACATTATATACGGTCGTCCAAGTTTTCTAAAACGTTTACCGTAAACCCGATCCGAAAAAAAAAATAAACCTAAAAACACGTTACAGGGTGTTGTAACATTTTATAGAAACAACAATAATATAATAATAATCGCCCGCGCGGAACCGAGACGAGTGGCGTTTGCGCCGCGTATAAATCCAATAAAACCGACACAATGAAAAGCCGACGGCGGTGGCCAGGATGTGCAGCGCGTTGCTGGTGGTGTTTTCGGCCGATATATACCGGGTGTACGCGTATGCGTATAACAGCCTGTATATATAATAATATATATTATTATATTATTGTGACTCGTGGTGTGCGTATACTGTATATTTATATTATGTGTGTGTATGTGTGTGTGTGAGTGTGTGTGTACGGTGGGTTAATAGTCGGCGAGCACCGTATATAACATAAAGGGGAGTTTTTCGCACAAAAGGGTTTAAATCTGATGGCCGGCCAAATTGATACCGAAATTCTCGTCATTGTTTCTTTCATCAAGTCTCTATTCATGCGGCACGTGCGGCGTGTCGGCGGCGGCGGCGGTCGGGCAGCGTACACACTATATGCACGCGAGACTTCCCCTACGCATCGAGGAAACGCCAACGACGGGTTTGCGGGTCCCGAAGACTAAAAAATAATAATAACCTCTACGCGACTTCGTATAAGTATTTTTATTTTTATTTATTTTTTTTTTTTTTTTTCCATATAATCCGGTACGATAACATAGTGTACCTGCAGTGGCGGCGCTGTAATCCAGACCTGTCCAACCAGTGGTTAAAGTGTGGGGACAAGGGATCGGTGTAGAACAGAGACTGCAGATTAAATGTTAAATTATCCGTCCCGTTTAGTTTTAAGCCATCAAAGTCCGGACGACCGCTATAGTAATTATTGTCACTGGGACTGGAGTGTTTTAAACGAAATTTTACAAACTCGAATTAATTGTATTAACAATAAGTTCATTGATACCTAGTTTATTCAATATTGCAACAATAAAATGTCGATGAGTAAATATAATTTCATAATAATACTGCAGTAGTATTGTAACTCGACATTTATTTCGGCGCCACTGGACCATACGACTTTTGTTTTCCGCGCGAACGTTCATGCGACTGTCATCGTACTATATATTGAATTTAGAAACCTGTAAAACCTGAAATGTATAAAATCGGGGAATTTCCGGACGATATTCTGAAATTTCTACGAACCATCAATTCCATATATTTCGATAAATATCCGCGTATCTGAAATTTCGATAAAATTTTTTTTTTGTTTCTTTGTTTGATTTTTGTTATTTTCAATCATTTTTGCGTGTTATAGTTTAGACCAGTGTTCCTCGACCTTGTTACTGTAACAACCCCCTAAATGAATATTTAATATTTTATCTACCCTTAAATATATATTTTATACACAGTGACCTAATATTTTATATTTTTGGCGACCCTTAATAATTAGTTGGTGACCCCTGAAGGGGTCGCGCACTCCAGATTGAGAAACATTGGTTTAGACTGTTGTTATTACGGAAAAATTATTAAATAACTCCGAAAGTGTGGAATTGACAAAAAATTTTAAGTACCTACACTTATAATACATATTGTATTATTTATTTATTCTGGAAGTTCATTGAGGAAAAACCATGGGTAATTCAGGGATTACAGATAGGTAATCGTGGTAACAATGATATTATATTATTAAACCACAAGTGTCGATTATATGCTGTACCCCGCGATGGCTACGGGTTTCGTTTTTTTATATATATTGGTGGGTGAGATGCTATTGTCCCCTTAGTGGCTTAGTATATATTATCACGTTGAATACATACTTAAAATCGAAAATTTAAAAATATAATCATCACACACGCGCCATTTATTCGCATAGTATACGACACAAATCGTTTTAGATTCTGTATATGTAGAGCCAGAATTAATTTTATTAGGGTGTGTTTTTTTATCCCTCTCTGGGAAAACTTGGAAAACTCCTTTTCGGTTAATCGTTCAAAACTTTCAAACCTCACCATTAAAGATACAAATTTTCTGTACGTTGGCTCTTTATTCGAACAACTTTCCTAGACTCCTTACGAAAAATGGTTCTTTTAAAAAAAAAAAAAAATCAAATATTTCGATAGGTAGCAATTAAAACCAATACACGTCCGATTTTAGATGAAACTATTCGAACACAACCATATCATGGTTTTAATTATTTAATTAATTTCCAATTCTTTATGGTATAGTTTATTGCGAACAATTATTGAACTTAACAACTGTTTTTCTTTTCGCTTAACTAATTAATATAATATGTATATGTTGTATAAACCTTTCCAGTTAGTTATTTATACCCTTTACCTCAAATTTCATTAATAACGATTAAAGTCTATTTAATTTTGCATAAATTTAAAAAAAAATATTTAAACCACGAAAGTCGAATAACTAATTTAAAAAATTTATTCAACTAGTTTTATTTAACTAATAATTTTAAGAGTTCTTAAAATGTTTAAACGTTAAACTCTACTCTAATAATTGCTCATATAACGTTTGAATTTCTTACAACGGTAAACAACATTTTTTTTTTTTTGATTTAAGCCCTGGCTAAAATGCTGCCGATTTTAATATTTTTGGCTAAAATAATATAGCCCCTTGACTTGAGAGTAGCTAGCTTATAAAACATACATATGTTTAAACTTTTTTGTCAGATAACGAGGACAATTAGGGAAGCATAAACAGAGAAACAATTATGAAGCATATAATTAACTTTCATCTTAAAGGACGAGAATTTACTAAAGCACAATTGTTATGCTGTTTCTGTTGACTAAGAACTCTTATAAAATACATACACAGTCGATGACACTTATGCAAATCACTTTAGAACCAGCATAAAGTAAATCTTATAACCAATTAACCTTAAAGGTGAAGTGGAGAAAGGATAGAATGTATTTGGATATGTCAGGACCGTTCCAAGTGATGTTAAGTCGAATAAGCAACTAAACCGTATATTCGTGAGTCTTAAAGCGGCGTCCGCTGCATTAGAATATCCACTTTTTTGTATAATTATTGCAGATCAAAATTAAAATTATTGAATAAATAACAAAGAAGCAAAAGGCAATCAACCGATTTAATAGCCAGTGGTAGCCAAAATAAGTAATACAGTGTTGAGAAAATCATCACGTGACCAACAATGGGTCGCTTATAAAATAAATAACGACACAGACAAAAAATAAAAAAAATCTCACATAATACAGTAAAACTTATACAATTCTAAAATTATATTATACTATATATCTATATAAATATTAAATTATATAGATTATTTTATTACATTAAAAAATATATTATTACACACATTAGTTTGACTAGTTCTGTATATTTAACTTTTAATAAATTTAAAAATATACCTAAACACTGTTTTCGATAAGTTTATTTGATTGTAGTCTATTGCAGTCTAGATAATTGTAATTCTTTACTGTTGGTATTGTATCTTTATTTAGCTCAACTTTAATCAACAGCATAATAAGTAACCTCAACACTGCTTGCAAATTATACCGAGCTCAAATCACAATCTTTTTTGAATGAAACGTTTTTTTTTTTCATTGCTTTCGTGTGTATAAACTACATATCAAACAAATTTTCCATCAATTTTTCAACCCGTAACAGTGGCCTGACCATCATGATGCGAAGTACGTCCGGCCTTTTTATTTTTTTCGTGTACCCATTTCTATTTTAACATACACTTTTCTGGCGCATTGACGTTTACTATAATAGATTCCTAATATCGTAAATAATAAATTATTACGGTTTAGAGTTCCTCGTCCGCGTGCTTTATCATTATTATTATTATTATTATTATTTTTTTGTTATTCGACAACGTCATCTCTTCGTCGCAATATAATAATGGTATATAGTAGTGGTTTCTTTTTTTTTTTTTTCTCTCTCCATGTATATAATCGTCTCTATAGCGCGGTATACAATACGGTCGCAGTATTATATTATTATTGTTATTTATTATTATTGTTATACGACACGACGTGCAGTACTCGTGTCTGTCGACAG